CTCCTTGTGTTACCTCTTTACAATGTTCTTTCAGTCTTACCTTAAGGGAGAAGCCTGTTTAAGTTAAGAGGATGATATCATATATATATATATATATCCTTTTTTTGTAACGGGATTTTCCTGTTTCTTAATACTTTGCTTAGCTTATGAAAGACAGTGTCTGTTACTCCTAATGCGTATTCGGATTTCTATGAACCGATTCGAAAATATCTAAAATTCTGCCAGAATTTATTATTGGTGAGAACAATCTTAACAATATACGATATGCATATGATAATGTGTTGATGGCGAACACAGAAAGAAAACTAATGACTTGAGGCACAGTTTTCTTAGACATTTCAACAAATAGCAAGTTAACCCAAGAGATAATGTAGTACTTTAGTGATCAATGTAAAAATTCAATATCTTTTGATTAGTAATGTTGGAGATGTAAACTTTTAAAAGGACTGAGAATTCACGGACAACATTGATTTTGCCAATTGTGTATTATTGAGATACTAAGGAAGGTTTTGTAAAGATCTGGTAGTACACAAGGATTATCAGTTATCTTAATTTCGTTATTCTGAAAAGTGTGTTTGGTTCTAAGAATTGAAGTGTTAGATACTCATGCGACTAAGACAATAGTAGTGTCTATCATATTAATACTAATACTATTATAAATAAAATATTTTGATATCTCCTGACGAGTGGAGGGTGTTGTAGGTTAAATGTTATAAACCTGGAGTAATCGTTTCACATACCGATCATCACCCCCCCAAAAAAAAAACAGTTTACAATCATTAACATAAGAGAAATACAAACAGATAAAACAATAATACTATATTAAATAAAATGTTTTACACTACTGGAGACGATATTTTGAAATATGTATTAAAGATTTGAAATTCATATTAAGTATTGAAAAATTCATATTTTTTTGTGCTATCAAGATCGTTCAAACCCATCTATAAATGTCTTCACAAATATGATACATGTTATTTGAAATGTAACGTTCCAATAATGCAAGAATATAGGTAGCAAACCTTTGGTCGTGATGCTTACAACATTTTGCTCTTGATAATGAGCAAAATTCTCAAAAGAAGTTGAACAAGAAATACCCAAAAACATGGATTATCAAAGCGAGGTTACTCCAAGGCACTGATTTTGCGAAACAATCCACTCGTGCCTTGTTAGCCACTTTCACTTACAGACAGACCGAATTTGATTACCCTTGTATCGAAGAAATTTTCGACATGTCTGCTACTGTATGTGCAAAAACTTATTGGAAAATTACAATTACAAATTTAGGCCTTGTCCATTTGTTAAATCAAATTTGTTTAAACGAATTATGACTGCTTAAGAACATATTTTATATATATATATATATATATATATATATATATATATATATATATATATATATATATATAAAAGACATTTTTTTATGTTTATACGTTCTTTTGTAATGTCTTAAATAATATATATGTGTGTGTGTGTGTGTGCGCGTGCGCGCTTGTGCAAAAATTTCTCAGAATTAATCTGTACAAAAAGACAATATGTATAAATGAAAAAAGACAATAAGAAAACTGTATTTTTAGCCGAGGGGTTTCGTCTATTGTGGCCTTTTTCAAGGCAAAAAATGAAATTAATTTATTGAAACAAAGTATCTATAAACAACAAAGAAATTTTTCTTTTTTACGAGTGTAGCATTTATAATATCAAAAATAAATTCAACCGCAATTTTCATTTTATAAATGCTAAACTCATAAAAAAAGAAAATTAACGCAGAAGGAAAATCCTTGAGAGTGACGCCATTGAATATTATTCAAATATTAATCTATGCCCCGGTTTTTTCCCCAATATCATCTTTTCTAACATAATTACTACTCTCCCAAGCCAACATACGCAACAACTATATCAAGAAATCAAAAAGAAAAAGATAGAATCCGCCAACACAATACAATCAACATTTCTGCATATGAAAATATTCTCTTCAAACATAAAGTAATTAAGATAATTTTTCAGTTGATTATATGAATATAGAATATCATTTCTAAATTTTAGTTGCTGACGACATTTTGTTTGTTATTTATAGATACTTTTTTCATAAGTTAATTTCTTTTTTATCTTGAAAAAGTGCACATTGGACGAAACACGTCGGCTAAAATTACAGTTTTCCTATTGTGGTTTTCTTTTTTTTATATATATATATATATATATATATATATATATAATTCAAAGAAAATCTAATCGCCTTTACAACCACCACATTATAGCGCTGATTAACGTGCTATTTACCTGATAATAGAACAATGAAGTCGCATATTACCAACAAACACAAAAACACATAGAGAAATCCAACAAAAAATTATCCATTATATATAAATACGATATCACATAAATTGTAAAAAAATCAAAGTATTAATTGCTGATAAATTCCTTTTTATGATGATGGCGTATATATATATATATATATATATATATATATATATATATATATATATATATATATATATATATATATGCTATATTTTATGTATTGGTTTTTAAACAAAAGCTTATATCTGATAATAAATCCAGTTAATTTTCGTTGACCTTAAAGAACAGAGTAACTTCTGGGATTTTTTTATTTCAGTTCTCTCTCTCTCTTCTCTCTCTCTCTCTCTCTCTCTCTCTCACACACACACACACACACACACACACACACACACACACACACTCACATGCACACACACATAACACATATGTGTGTGTGCGTTTATGATATATATATATATATATATATATATATATATATAGAGAGAGAGAGAGAGAGAGAAGAGACTGACATAGATAGATAGATAGATAGAGAGATAGATAGAGATAGATAGATAGATAGATATTGTCGATCGAGTGATATAGTTGTATATATTGTTTCGTATTTTAGAGAGGTGGTTATATATTAATCCCAATATTTAGTTGTGTATTTCTTGACTCGCATTCCAGTCTATTGCTATCTTTAAATAATCTCATTGTGAGTTGTTTCACACAACTTTCAGGTATTGCTTGAAGATCTTCAGCAAAATAGGAGAGTGTGGTTATGTTCAATACGGGAAAAACAAACAAAAAAATAAAGCAAGTTGTTTTTTCAGGCATTGGAAAAGATTATGTAAGAAGCTTATGACGCATCCAATGTGAAGATAATGTTGTTAAGAGTTACAGTATTTCTGCAACGGTTTGTATAAGGTTTCATGCTAATACGTCACGAAATCCTCCGCATGATTTTTCCGCGTATATATATATATATATATATATATATATATATGGAAGAGATTACAGTAGTTCTAACGAGAGGAAAGAGTTTATATTAAAAAGAAGAGAGAAGCAGCAAATGTTTTTGGTTGTAATGCGTATTTTTTTTAAAATATTACGCTTTATTTTCCATAATTTTTATATATATATATATATATATATATATATATATATATGTTGTGGTTGTACGTGTACATGTGTATGTATATGTATGCCTGCTTGCACGTGTGTTTATAATATATGTGTGTGTTAGTTGTAAAGATATAGGGTGGAGCGTAGAATGGAAGAGAGAAAGCGATTGAATAATGAAAGATAAATGCAAAGACAATATAAGAATACCCTATAACTCTTGAAATAATAACCAATGATATACGTGTGTGTGTGTGTGTGTGTGTGTGTGTGTGTGTGTGTGTGTGTGTGTTGTGAGTGTGTTGTGAGTGTGTTGTGTGTGTGTATGTATGTGGGGCGTATGTACATGTGTGTGTAGGTGCGTGTGTGTGTGTGTGTACACATAGTGTCTGAACAGATAATCAATATATATATATATATATATATATATATATATATATATATATATAAAAAGAGAGAGAATTAATATAAACTTAGCGTATTGGTGTAATCTTCTACATCCCCACTTTATACTTTTCGCAGACGGACCTCGCAGCAATCACTCTACCCGCTCGTCAGGAGATATCAAAGTATTTAATTTACAATCGTATTAGTACTATATGATAGACACTAACAGTGTCTTAATCGCATATGTATTTAACACTTCAGTTCTTAGAACCAACCAGTTTTCAGATGAACGGAATTTAGAGAACTGGTACTTGTGTGCTACGAGATCTCCACAAAGCCCCCCTCTTTTTCGAAATTGAGGGCTGCCCTTCCCCTTGAAAAGTAGCTAACCACGTTTAAAGAGCTTACTCTGCCGTAACTTTTAACACAGTATTTAGAATCACACAGGCACACATTGTATTTTTCCAATTTTCGAATAAGTTACTGAATATTTTGATCGAAATTGTGGATAAATTGCCAGAAGTTCATGTTCGTTGTTGTTTTTTGTTCAAGTAGTTTCGACCGTTTTAGTTATTTTTAAGAATCAATGTCGTGTCTGTGTGGTAGACAAGAAATTCTTTGTCTACATCCTTTTATTATGCCTGCCGCACAGACACGACATTGCTTCTTGAAAATTACTGAGATGGTCGAAATTTCTTGAACAAAACCAAAAACAACTTCCATGATCTCTTCGATATTAACATCTTCAAGTCAAATATCAGTGACTATCTATCCTTCTATCCTGAAGATTTCCATTTTACCACACGACAATCAACATTACCATTGGGTTGAGTGTAATCCTCTTTCTTGAGTGGTTCTCTTGGCTGAAATTCAGTATAAGGAAATCTTTGTTGGGTTAAATTGTGGAAGTGTTCGTTTCTGACGGAATACCCAAATTTAGCTGAAAGGCGGCATAAGGACAAAGAATATCAAATGCTTTGCTGACAGAATAATAATGCTGGAAATTTATATGAATTAAAGAATTTGTCAAATAAATGATGTAAACCTCCTGAATAAAATTAGAGTTTTACTAGGAATGACTGTGAAAATTTCATGTCTTCCTGTAGAATTTTGTTTCTTTGTTTCTTTTTCCTGCTGTTATCAAAAAGCTTTTCCGTTATGATTTCCGCTATACACGCGATCAAAACGAAACATTATTTATGAGATAATGGCAGGGTCTTTCTTTCTTTCTTTCTTTCCTTTCTTCCTTCTTCTTTCCTTCCTTCCGTCCTTCCTTTTTTCTTCCTTCCTTTCTTCTTTCCTTCCTTCCTTCCTTTGTTTCTTCCTTCCTTCTTCCTTCCTTCCTTTCTTTCTTTCTTCTTTCCTTTCTTTCTTCCTTCCTTTCTTTCTTTCTTTCTTTCTTTCTTTCTTTCTTCCTTCTTCTTTCCTTCCTTCCGTCCTTCCTTTTTTCTTCCTTCCTTTCTTCTTTCCTTCCTTCCTTCCTTTGTTTCTTCCTTCCTTCTTCCTTCCTTCCTTCCTTCCTTTTTCCTTCCTTCCTTCCTTCCTTCCTTCCTTCCTTCCTTCCTTTCTTTCTTTCTTTCGTCATTTCTTTCTTTCTTTCTTTCTTTCTTTCTTTCTTTCTTTCCTTCCTTCCTTCCTTTCTTTCTTTCTTTCTTTCTTCCGTCCTTCTTTCTTTCTTTCTTTCTTTCTTTCTTTCTTTCTTTCTTTCTTTCCGAAACCGAACATAGAACCTGATATGTGTTTTCCGTTTTTTTTTTCATGCGATCAAAACAGAATCGTCCATTATTGACGGGGCGTAACGTACGCACTAACAAAGAAACAAAGGCAGGTGCAAAGCTAGATTGTAAAAAGAGCGTTACAAAATTCGAAATTCAGATATAAAAATTTCTTTGTATCAACGATTCAAAAATCAAAGAAAGAAAACGGTTCCATTGCCAAAAAAAAAACATTTCTCGGAGAGAAGGTCACGAAATTCTTCTGAAAACCATATTTGGATAACTAAGTTTTGAATGGAAAATCAGAACGCTATTTTTAGACTGGCTGGTTTGTCACTTACCATTCATGTAATGTTGGATAAAAATGCTTATCGATTTGTGGCCTTTTTTTAAAAATAAAAGCTGTGCTTTTCCAGGTTTCGTGTCTTTAAGAGACAAAAAAAAGGTTTGTTATTCATTAACCTTGTCATTGTCTAATTCTTAGTAAGATGATCTTCTGGGCCAGCGTTTCTCAACCGGTGTTCCCCAGAACCGTGCAGTCTCGCGTCCATTACCATTCACGCGGCCGTATATAAACATATATGACAGCTTACGATATGAATATCCTGTTATTGCCAAACTCACTACTGCACAAGTTAAATATTGAAGACAGACTAGCCACAAACGTACACGAATAACAAATGTAACCAAGTCTACATGACAACACAGCGCTATCTTTTTTTAAAACTTAATAACTCAAAAACGAAGGATTAGCAGGCATATGTTTATATGGATTTTGTTTTGGTGTGGGTAATCCGCCCTCAAAGTTTGTAAAAGTATTTTTGATGCACCTTGCATAATCATTTCACCGCAAGCCGGGAGATAAAAGCCGCGAACATTCAAGTGGTTACTGAGAGTAAAAGAAACATAGTTCAGGAAAGATACAAGATGACTGTTGATATTACATTTGTGTATACGCGCGTGTGTTGGCCTATGTTTGCGTGTAGTTGGATTTCCTTCTTCTGTGATTGGTTGCTCTTGGCGTGTTGCAGAATCAGATGATGACGACACTGACGCGAAACCAGCACTGACTTACCCTTACCCTGTCACCAGGTAAGTCAGCGTTGGTTCCGTGCCCCTGCCGAAAAAAACAAAAAATACATTTAGCCTGTTTCCTTTCATTTGGAATCGACATCATATCTCCACAAAGATTTTCATTAGTTATAGTCTGTCGCCATTGAACTTTGGTAAACTTCTCTTCTCGTCCCCATATCTGGCAGCCCTGAATTCCATGATTTGTCTGATCTTCTTTTTCTTATGTTATATGATCTTTCAAGAAGTCAAACCTCTACAGATTCCTGCCTCTTTTTAATCCTTGTGCCGTTCCAGAATGGAACTTGATTCCTTCTGCAATGCTTCCATTACAATGCTTCATTTACAAGAGCCAGATCAAACCAAAAATAAAATACTATCGCCATACCTGAGTTGAATCATCTCAATTCTCTTTCCATTCATAACAGATTTCAAAATCGCTACGCGGTCTTGTAGGCGATGACTTATTTCCCATCCTACAAGCTCTTCTGCAAAGACACAAAGTTGTAGGCCTATCGCTACTCTGTTGCTATTTCCATAGCAAATGTTCAATTCTCTTCCACTCTTTCGTTCCACCAATTTAGACCTTTAAAGTTGAGAATCGACATCTGCTTCCACGGAGTCGAATCACCCAAAATTCTCCCGTATTCCAAATTAAGAAAGATCCGCTCAAAGAGCTTTTTTTCCCAAGAACTGCTAATTTGTGTAAAAACCACTTCACTGAGTAATAAAATGAAGAGTCAATCGCTACCCATCCTCGTTATCCTCATAAGCCTCATTTCCTTCTACCTTGTCTGATATTCATATATATCTTATTCAGTACTCCTCTACCCTGAGTGGCTCTTGAGCCTAGTATCGGTAAACTTCAGTATGAATAATGTGCCATATATACTCGTTCATAGGGAAAGGTTTGATGACCAGTTTTTTTACGCCAAAAATTAAGGGGTCACATTAGTAAAAAGTAATTTTTTAGGTTAAAAATGCATTTAAGATGACCGGTTGCACTATACACAGGTAAATTTTTGTGGGTGTTTTAAAATATATGCCAAAAATTCAGCGGTCGCACTATACATAGAGTCGACTTATACACAAATATACACGGTGAAATTAATACAAATGTTAATTTTAAATGATATTTACTTTCCCAGAGAAGCAAGTTCGCAGGATATTTTCCTACTGTCTCGTTGATTCCATAAAAAATGTTCAGACAACCGCCATTAGTTTGTACCACCATGACCGTTACAGCCAAGGTTCATTTTGATAAGTCCACAGGATCAAAGGATGAGAGTGTAGGGGACATAACAAAAAAAAAAAAAAATACTTAGAGCTACAAAGTACAGTAAATTAAAGGACATGGCATATACACCCATGTGCAAATTAATTGAAACAACCGCTTTTGTTTCCTTTCTTTCACCATTCTATCAGTTTTAGAGCCGCTGGAGCCACAGGGTGTAATGGATTTCTATTTTTTCCTGAGATTAGGTCATTTTCAGTGGTGTGCAGTAATATGTTTCTATTTTCGGAGTGTATGATGAAATTTGTTTGGCCTTGAAAAATATTGTGCCATCCGTGATTGCATCAGATTTTTATCACGCTCAGATAATATTGTCTCGACTGTCGATTAGTTGTCCTACGGTCATTGTCTGCGATGGACGTTACTGCAAGGAAGCGTACGAAAATTGTAACTCTGCACGAACGCACTGACAAGCCATACCAGTGAGCAAATCTATAGACTGGCCCGGAAACTCCCGATTAAAATCCAATCGAGAATTTGTGGTCAATCTGCAAGAAACGTCTTCGTGGAATGGACTACTAACATGGGCACTGGGTCATTGAAAAATTATGAATAAAAGGAAATATAGGAATTATTCGTTTTGCTTCAATTAATTTGCACAAGCGTGTATATATGGGTGTGTGTGTGTGTGTGTGTGTGTGTGTGTGTGTGTGTGTGTGTGTGTGTGTGTGTGCTATGAAAACCAATGTTTTAAAGGGACTGACACAGAAGAACAAAACTATTGACTGAAATCTATCACTTTCCTCTTTAGGCTAGCGATATAAATTAACGAGCATGCCCTTGAGACGCTTTATAACGCACTTAGGAGATAAAATCATTTTAAGTTAAAAGTTGTGTACATCAATAATTAATATTTAATTAAAATTTCTATTGAAATTCTTATCAAACTGGTTCAATGTCCAGCTTCACTGCTTTGCAATCTTCTTGTCTCCTTGCAGCATGGTCTTTTTGTCTAACGTTTTTTTTTTTCGCATTTCACACTAAGGGTAATCACGTGATTGTGACCACACCTGGCTAAGAGAACAGCTGAAATAGGGATAACTGTCGGTCGTTTTTAAATACTAAGGATTTACTGAGGTACATTTCTATAAATTTGGCACAAGATTTACTGGTGTACTTGCACAGGAATTGGGTGGAGGATTTATCGATGTACCTACATAGCAATTGGTCGAATGATTTACTGATGTATCTACATGTAAATAAGGTGAAGAATTTACTAATTACTTGAACAGAAATTAGGTAAAAATATAATAATGTACCTGCGTATAAACTGAGAGGAAGATTTACTGATGTACCTGGATATAAATTGGTCAAACGACTTACTGATGTGCCTGTAGAGAAATTTGGCGAAGTAGTTACTAATGTATCTGTACAAAAATTGGGAAAAGATTTACTATATATATCTGGACAAAACTGGGCAAATGTTTTACTGATGTCTGTATAGAAATTAGGTGAAGGATTTACTGATGTATCAGGTCATTCCATAAGTTCTGTCCGAATTTTGAATAAAGAAAACAAGTGACCAAATGTTACATTTAATTAAAGATTCAATCAACAATGTATTTTCCCTGATTATCTATGACTTCCTTCCATCTATCAGGTCATTCCATAACTTCTGTCCGAATTTTGAATAAAGAAAACAAGTGACCAAATGTTACATTTAATTAAAGATTCAATCAACAATGTATTTTCCCTGATTATCTATGACTTTCTTTCTATCTATTAACAAGCTTACTAATTGCATTACTGTAAAATTCTTTTGGCTTTGATTCGAAGAACTCACAAATGTCAGTTTTAACTTCTTCCTGTGTTACAAAAGCTGTTTCTTCCAAATGATTCTGTAAGCTACAAAACAAATGGTAGTCTGAAGGAGCAAGATCGCGACAATAAGGTGGTTGAGGAATTTTCTCCCAACCTTGTTCTTCGATCTTTTGTAACGTGATTCTTGCTGTGTGGCGTCGCGCATTGTCCTGATGAAACATCACCTCTTTTTGATTCACTAGAGCAGGTCATGATTTCCTCAAAGCTTGGTTCAAACGCTCTAATTACTAACTGTATATTTGAACATTAATTGTTGCATTAGGTGGTAAGAATTCAAAGTGGATTATTCCTTGGCGATCCCACCAGATTGAAAGAAGAACCTTTTGCCCATGAAGTTCCCTTCTCGGCTGTGACTGAGGTCCTTCCCCTTTACCAAGCCACTGTCTACGACGCTTAACATTTCGATAAAAGACCCATTTTCGTCGCCAATCCCAAGTCTATCCAAAAAAGGTGAAACAAGTTGGCGAGAATGGAGAGAAGAGCAGATGTCAACTCGGAATTTGAGGTTGTTTTCAGACAATTCATGAGACACCCATTTTCCAAAATTAGGAACTTTTCCTTGTTGAAGATGACGATGAACAGTTGCATGATTTGAACTGAGAACCACTGCCAATTCCTCAACTGATAAAGCAGGATTTTCTTCAAGGGCTGCTTCAAGAAGCTTTTCATCAAACTCAACTGGACGTCCGGTTCGATCTTCATCTTCAAGGGTGAAATCTCCACCTCTGAATTTTGCAAACCATCTTCTGCAAGTTCTTTCATTCACACATTCCTCTCCATAAATTGAGTGAATGTTTCTAGCCGCATCGGCTGCTGAGTTTCCTTTCTTGAAC